GCGACGCCCTAACGAGAAATATATAATTATCTTTAGTTGTAACTGTATGTGAGTTTCGTATGTGTTAATGTTAAGTTAGTGTGAGCATAATTTATGTTACTTTTACTGTGATTTGATTATAATATGGTTGCATTTTACTATAGAACGCGTTATCACGATTTAACATTAGTTACCGGAAATTTGAACTATGCGTCGTGCTATTCGAAGATTTCGCATCATGGGGAAAGTAAATATTAAATGGAGTGATAGCATTATATTTGATGTAACGCTTCTTACAGATATAGTGGCAGATATATTACGACATATAATTATCATAGTAAATGATTATACATAGTGTTAGAGCTTGATGAATGTAACCGCCATTGTGCTTAGTTGTATCACTTAGCATGATGTTACTCAGACTTTCTGGTCGAAATTATTTATTTAGCTGTGTAAGATGGTCCGCGGTCCTGCGACGGTCCTGCGGTGGTCCGGCTGCGGTCTGGCCGCTTGTAGCTTGGTGCTGGATGTCCGCGTGGTCCTCGTGGTCCTCGAGCGGTACACGTCTGTGTAGAATTATCATCGAATATACAATGAATTTAGACCGAGGTTCAGTAGGACTTTGGAGATATTCTTTGTTTGTGTAGGAGTTTAGTCCTCGCTGAGTTGGGGGTAGTTTAGGATGCTCGTGCACTCAATGTCTGTCGACTATCGCGCCGCGTGTGTGTAACTCTTTATATTGTCAATTTGATCCTGAGTTTGAACCGCAGAGACTTTTTCTATCTTATTCTCTTTCAGAGTTCTTTTTGATTAAACTGTGGTGACGATGTTTTTGTCAGTGGAACTTACGGTTACGAACCACGCCCAAACTATCCTTTGTTATGTCATCTAGGGCCTAACACGAAAGTTTGAAAGAAAAATTCGTAACGTTAAATTCATACAAATTTTGTCGATGACATTTCTAATGCTGTCTTGCAAATATTCGTGTTAGGACCCCTGTATTCGCTCAGCGGCTGAAGGTGCATCACTGCGGTTGCTTTTAGCAGATTGCATGAAGTGCGTCGTGATCTACGTGATTATATAGAAACGTTGCTAAATGTTTAGTTTTCAAAGTTGGTAGTAGAAATAAACTGTGCAATTAACTATGCTGTTATAGAAACTACATTAACAATATTAACGCGATCGTTCAGTCCATGCAAAATAACTATACTTATAAATGTTGTTGTTTGTCATCAAAAATGTATTAGTATGAAAAATTAGTTTTACGATAAAAAATTATCGGCATAATTATTGTTAAAATTAAAATGAAATTGTTGAGTAGCAATGGAGATATATATAATTATTTATTCTGTTATAACTTTCAGTTAAGATTCTGTAGCTGTATTAATTTACTGGTGATCTATTGTGTAACTTCTAAGTTGTTAAAATATAAATCAAGCCATAATAACGGAGAATATATTCTTTTGAGAAAATGTTTTATTATTTAACATCAATCCCTTTACATTTAATACAATTAACATTAAATAAATGCAGCAATAATGCGACAGTCACTTCACCGTTGTAACATCTGTATATTGCCTTTGTTCCTTTATCCTAAGCAAAGTTACCTGATCAGTTAGAATTTTTTTTTTCACAGTTTGGTAGCTAGAAATGTAAATGGAATATTTTTTTCCACTTTCATAAACAATAGGGTAACACACTTTTTTATTTTCCGAGCCGTCTATTACTATTACAAGTGGGTTGCCGAGGTTCTTCGGTCTGGGTTGGCTGGAGTAATCCATGTCCTATTCTCACGCAAAATACGCGCTAGCCGTGGAGTTGCGGAAACCGTAGCCCCTACTACTACTAATATTACAAGTATTATCTGCCATTTATATTCCTAATAGCGGCTGTGTGGTGTCCAACAGAGTGAAATTAGCGGTTGAAACTACACAATTGTACCTAACCTAGCACAAATTTGACTTGTTATTAAGTGGAAAAAAAATATATTTTCCGCAACTTATGTAGTTTCTAACTGGTGAGCTAGCTTTGGTTAGGAAAAAGGCAATATTGTTATCCACTCACTCTATAGATAAAAAAAAATACAATGTTTATATACACACATTACAACAGTTTTAATTCACATCTGACAGTAAGTTAATTAAAACCTGCCCCTTTTCGGTTGATAATAATCTCTATTCCGATTATCAGGATTAGTATATCCTCGTCTCTGTCCATACCTTCTGTTGTCATAGCTTTGATCCTCATAGCTTCTATCTTGATACCCTCTAGTATACTCATTGTGACCTCTATCCTGGTATCTGTCATGATTTCTATTCCTATTAGAACTGTCATATGGATGGAATCGTCTATTGTTGAATCTTCGGTTTTGTGTTGCTCTCCAATTCTCCATTATCGGAGGTTTGGGTTGTTCAGCATTAAACACTTTCATGTAATCTTCATCTAACTCAGTAAACCGGTCCTTTAATTCCTCTTCGCATTGTGCCAGAAAATCTCTATCTTCAGCAGAAATATCAGTCGCCATTTTTAATTTTTCGGATACACTATTAAAGAATCAATCACTGAAAAGGAATTAACAATATTAATATAATTAAAACAACGATACCTTAAGAGGTATTTAATTAAATGCTTATTTTTTTAGCACAACACATTTTAATCTGACACCAAGACTAAAATTAAGGACACAGACTTACACAAATGAGGAAAGCCACCACATAAAGGCTATAAATAATTGTTGAACAAGAGACTGTGCAACATTTGCCTAAAGTAAAAGACGCTTAAGAAGTGCTTTATATATTGCACACTTTTTCAATTGATAGTTTAGTTGGGTACTTGACCAATGTGAACATAAATGGTCGTGTGAATTATACTCCTGTTTGTTTATGATTTTGGCTTGAAAGCCCAACCTGATGAAACCATCGTACAAAAAATATTCTGCAGTCTGTAGGGTCTCCAAGACATACAATAAGCTAATCTGACATTTACATTAAAACAAAACCTTTTCCAAACAACACAATGGGCTCATAACAGCATCCAACACCCTAATAAGAAAATTGTTAATATTTACAAGAATCACTTATTATGCTGGACACTATAAGAATATAAAATGTTCTTGGTTCAATATGTACATTTGAGCTCTTAAAGACCCAACCAACAAATGTGTTACACTCGGGGCAAATGCATGGCTTCCATTGATATCCAGGATACCATAACTCCTCCTCCTGCCACTATAATGAAATTGGTTTGCAATGTTAATAAAGATGGCCTACTTAGAAAATACGGACGCTCTTACTCAGAAGTTACAGGGTCTGAATTATATCTCTCTAGAAGTTAATGGCATCAACTTTCTAGCTACTTAAATCTAGCAATAAATGGGGTAGAAAAAAAAATGTGCATTTACCTCTCCGAAACTCTCGCAAGTAGCTTGCAAGGTGGTTATGACGTGGAATTCAAAGTTATCTTTTGATAATAATTGAATTAACACATTATCGTCATTAAATACAGCATCCTCAAATGTATGACTAGATTCTCCACTACGCTTAGAAGTTATCGCTTCGGTACCAGTAATATTATTGCCACAAGAACGACATACAATGATATCTGTGAAAAAAATCGTAGTTGTTAAATTAACAAAATATTTCCAATGTCTAAAGTATATATGACTGAAATGACTTACTTTTTAATGTATGATTAGAGTATTCCGATCGTGAAACACAAGGAAAGTATAAACTTCCAAGAATAAACAAAATGTAAATCATTACAAATTAACCACGACTGATATGTTTCATTCAATCAATTCGTTCTAAATTCTAATTTGAACCCGAATCTACCGAAGCTCGAAATCTTTTCTGTTTTGGTCTTCGCCATAGACAAACTAGTTGTGATCAAAGAGCGTATGGTTGCGATTAGCTGACCTTTGTAAGGGTTGGTACCATGGAAATAATAAATACAACGTACAACAGGAATTAATTCTATTTTGCAATTAAAATTAAGAAAATAAAACCTATTATGCTAAGCGAGTAAGAGTTTTGTGCACGCAAAATAAAATTGAAGTCGTGTGAGAGAGCTACAAGTGACTTCTGCGACACTTTCTTACAGTGACCTACAGTTGCCAGATATCAATCCTTTCGTTGTTTATACAAAATTAGGCGATTGATGTAATTTAATGAAGTAAAAACTTTTACTCTTAAAATGTTTCTAAATATTAATAATAATATGTTACCGACATGTTAAAGCAATATTATTTGTTGCTATGTGTAAAACCTTATTAACACAAAAAATTTGCGATTGGCGTACAGGTTTTCTTTTATTTGTTTGAAATTCGGACACCTGCACTGCCAACCCTACGTTTTTTTTTTATTTTGTGATGTTTTTCAAGAATTTCAGTTAAAATGGGAAAATTCGTGTTCTGTGACACATATGTGGAAAATAGGCAACAATATGATTATAGTTTGAATTTAAATTCAAGTAAATGTTTATCTAAACATTAAAAACAAAGACTTTTATAAGTCATCTGGTACAGGCAGGGTACTGGTATTATGAAGAGTATGTCCTCTTCTTCAATCATAGACAAGAATTCAGTCGTGCCGGTTCGCGCTTCGCGCGCGTTTTTTCTTGTTGTCAAAGTTGTTTATCGATGTTAGTTAACCATTTATTATTCAATTATATAGTTAAAACAAAATGTTAAAATCAATTGAAACAGTGATTTGACATTTTATGTCCCTTTTTATTATTTTACATGTTAACCTACGAGATTTGTGTTGGACCTGTCAAAAAGTACGCGAATATTTGTCACTAGATTTTTGCATAATGTCTGCAGAATGTATGAGAATGAATACATAACTTTAACTCCGAAGCGATGCGCACTTACAGAAGTTACAAATGCCAGCTATGTGTCTCCTACTGCTAACCTCAAATTGTTGACCAACGTTGCACTGCAGTACCCCACGCCGCCACCGAGCGCAGTACAACGAAAAGAAAAATCCTTGCAAATATTATGCGACAAGTAAGAATACATGTCATTAGTCGAAAATAATGATTATGGAATTGCTAGTTTCCCTTGCAAATGTGGACCTTATTAATTTGTAATTTTCTTTCATCTTTGTAGATTTCTTAACCTATTTCCACTTCAATGTAATGGAACAATGAAAATCCAATTGGATAGCACTGCGGCCAGGTTGGGAGTAGAAAAAAGAAGAATGTATGACATAATAAATATTTTAGAAGCAATGAAATATGCAGTCCATGAAAAGAAAAATACATATTTGTGGCATGGCGAGTCTGGCCTTAGTTCCTTTTTAAAAGTTCTTAAAAAACAAGGGGAAAATCTACGCTTATCTGAGGCTTTGAGAGGGAGAGCACCTAAACCTCTGCCACCTAAACATAAAACACTAGGAGTACTGGCCAAAAGATTCTTAATGTTATTCTTAGTAGAACCACCAGTAAGTATCATGCTATAACTGATTATTTAAATTTTCAGTTTTATTAAGATTTGTAAAACAACATTATTCTTTTCTTTGCAGAATACTCTAATAAATTTAGAGATGGCTGTGAAGGTATTAATCGATACTTCAAATAAAAACAAAACTGATCTCTCACCAGAGCAACTGGATCGTCAACACAAGTCTAAAGTACGAAGGCTCTATGACATTGCTAATGTATTCATATCAATTGGTCTCATTGAAAAAGTTTCAGGTAATTTAATACTAAAGAAGCCGGTATTCAAATATGTTGGAAGGTATAAGGTTAATAGGTTTGATGATTCCATCAAAACACCATCTCCGATAACACCCCTCACAGCATTAGATACATATCAGAAATTAACCCCTTGCCATGTGTATGCGGGTAGATCGAAACGAAAGTTAGAATTCACCACCCCGAGTAGTGAGAGCAAACTGGGTGTAACCACACCCCCGCACACACCCTCCCACAAGTGGGATGAAATCCTACTTGTAGCAGACATGGAGCTGAGTAGAATTAATAAAGGAGTTTAGTTGTGATTGTACGCTTTATACATACTTATTTTATGTAAATTCTATTTAAAAATGGCCATAGTAAACTTTTTATGGTAAATGAGAGAATATGTGAGACAATCAGCTGAATACTGCAACAAATCTTTTGGTAAGCGCTGCTTAGCATCTGACAGATGTTAAAATTATAAAGGAATTTGGCCCCTTATCATTTAAAACACTCCAAATATAAAAATTGTTTTAATATTCAGCTGAATGTTTAGTGCTCTAGATAACATATGTAAGGATCTCTGCTGACTGGTAACATTATTTACCATCTGGTAAGCTATATTTTTAATCTGACATTTAATTTGACTTTAGTTCCTTACAAATGTTTTGCAATATAGAAATGTGCCTTAGTTTGTTAACTTGCTGTGCCTTACTTTGCCAGCATATATTAATATTCACTGAATGTTGACAGTGAACTTGACTGAAAATTAATTTTAGGCAGATTGAGGGTTAGCTAATATCTGGTACCCAAAAATTTCAATAAAAAATGGCTATTCAGATATACATTTTTTAAAGTTATAATTTTTTTACTCCAAATGTATTGGATAATAATATCTGACAATCTTATTTAACAACTGTTAGCATCATTATTTACATGCTTGTGGTATTGAGAAGGTGACCAGATATTTAAAGCTACAATGTGGTTTGTGTAATAAATAATTGTATGCTTAGTCTTCCAGGGATGTGCTGTAAAAATATCTAAAATCTATTTTAAAGCATCACAATGCTTTATAACTGTTAGAAATATAAAAATTTTAATTTATAAACAGAAATTTTATGTGAGTCCCAGACATAGCATTATATTTTTAATATAAAATGTTAATATTATGGAAATGTCAATATTTGTGATTGAATACTATATAGATGTTCTTAAGTGCCTCCTCTTCAGACTATCGTCCCATAAAAAGGCTGTAATATGTGGGGGCTGTAATGGTTAATATTTTACAATATGACAGTGAAATAAAATTTAATTAAAAACTGTGTGCTTTGGCTTGTTAATAGACTGAAATTACGAAATTAAATTTATTATACAATTAGAATTATGACTTAACAAATTACATGTAATCCTGACCCTGGGAGTCTCAGGACTGATTACTAAAAGCTAGTTTTTTTTTAAGTAATAAAGTTTTGCATATATTATGACAAACGTTGGACTACATATTAACTCTATAAAATTATATATTTATTTTAGTATTGGCGGTGAATGCAATTATGTCCTTATTGGACTTACATTTATAAAGAATATTATGTAAAGTTAAATATTATGTTCTATTTTTTATAAGTTACTCTTAAATAAATACAATGATATTTATTCTTATTGTTTTGAT